CTCCACCTGGCCCGAGCCCGGGCCCGATCCCGACCTCCCACCGCGCCTCAATCTGGCCCTTCGCGCTCTGGCTCCTCTGTTCTGGGGCCCGCCACCGCGGGGCGCCTGGCCTGGACCCGGCCCGGCTAGCCACCGCGCCTCCATCTGGCCCGGCCCCCGCACTGGCGAGTTGCAGCGAATCTTCCACTAGTGCACATCGCGCGATGGAGGACGGGGCTGCACTGCGCCGTCGCCCCGCATCCCCCCGCGCCGCCCAGCGCATGTCTCCGTCCAACAACACGCGTTATATTTGCCCGTGTGGAACCAGTCGCCGTGATGGAACGCACAGCTCACCAGCGTGTACTTCTGCCCGCTCAATAGGAAGTCTTCCACAGGGCACGACCTCGCGCGGGACTTTCAGCGCTCTCCGCGACACTGGGTCGTCGGTCTGCACGACCAGCTGCGCCCGCAGACACTGCGTGGCCCTCGCCAGCTCCAGTTCCTTCTTGGCCTCGCGGCAGCCGCGCCTTTTCGGGCATGCCAACCTGTAGTCTGCGGCCATTATCTCCCCGCGCCAGCTCTCGTTCACGGCATCGCGCACTGCTATCGCCTCCCCAACTCGACCGACCAGCATCTGCGCAGTCAAGCAAGTAAATTCCATGCCCCCTCTGCCGCCCTCGCTCCTCCGCACGCGCGCCTCGCGCACACGAGCCGACCCGCTTTTTATATGAAACAGCTCCCTCATGAGAGGCGCGAGATCCACGTGTTGAAGTTCCTGCAAGTAGTCGCCTGCGTCTTACTGCGCCCCATCATGGGACACGCGCGGCATTGCGTCCAACCAGATCGACTTCGCCCCGATGCCATGCTCTATTTTCCGCAACGTCTGTGCAAGCAGGGCATCAACATTAGCCTCTCTCCCGGCCCGGTGCGATGCGCTCCCGCGCTCGGAAAAGCGCCACCCACCCCCTTTTCGCAGAGGGCCCCTGCGTTCCAAATTGCAACGCGGCGCGCACGTCTAAGACAAAGAATAGCGCCTGCACAGACGCGTTTATGAAGCGTATCCCCTATCAGAGTTCGAAGGCCTGGAAAGGCGGGTGCCGTTTGTCGTGTCTCTGCAGGCTCCAGGGTAGTCGCCTTCTTCGTTCGCAGCGGCTGCGTGGAGACGGCGCCAGAGCTCGCGGGCGCGTCGCGGCCTGCCGGGCTACGACGGTCATGGGGCGTCATGTCCGAGCTGCTTCTGAGACGCACGGGAGGCTGCTCGGACGCAACGCACCGAATACGTTCGCAACATCGCGTTCGGGCGGTTGTTGCGAAGAAGCGCCCGCGAAGCCCCGCTGCACAGCGTTGCCCATCCCCCGAACCCTTTGTGGCGATGTGGCGAGTCTCCGCTGCCGCGGCTGCGCGCGCTACAGCTGCGATGCCCGAGGTTGCTGCTGTCGTTCCCCGCGGCCGTGCGCGCGCGTCCGGGGCGGCGCCTGCTGACGGCGAACGCGCTCCCCGCTCGTGCACGGTGTCCATGTCGCGCGGCGCCGCGCCCATTACGTGCCGTCGCCACGGGGCCCGCCGCGGATCTTCCTCAAAGACGCGTAAAACGCCATGCCCATGAGCGACCCGCAGGTTGTGCCCAGCAAATGACCAAACGGCAGACCCGACACACCAACCGCCACAATGCCCCAGCCGCCACCTCCCCCAGGATCTCTCGCCCGTGAGATCCGCAACACCTTCTGCTTCGCACAATCAAACAAACGCCTCGCGCTGGCTGCGCTGAGTCCACGTTCTGCGACGCGGCCAACATGTTCCCGAGAGGCCCCCAAATGGCCCCTGAAGACCACCCAGCTGTCCGCCACAGCCCCCAAGGCGACGCAAAAACTTGAGATCGAGAACGCCTCAACGGGCGTCCAGAGGCCTCTGCCCCACAACCCAGGCACGGCGGCTTCCTTGTGGGCCACCAGGCGCGTGAGATTCCCCCCCCCCAGGGGCCGTTTGGCCCAAATGGTTCAATGACACCCGTCACAACCTCCAGACCCATCCAAAAAGGTCATGTGTCCCCACCGCTGTCCCCACCACCCCTTGGTTTTCGAGGGGGGGGGGTAGAACCTGTAGTGACCCCCCCCGGTTTTCGAGTTCGAGGGGGGGGGGGGTTCGAACCGGTAGTGACCCCCCCCCCTTTTCATGATGAACTGGGGGGGGGGGGGGAGGGGTTCGAACCGGTAGTGACCCCCCCCGGTTTTCCAGAGGGGGGGGGGGAGGGGTTCGAACCGGTAGTGACCCCCCCCGGTTTTCCGCCAGCAGCGGTAGAACACGCTCTTTCTAATATTCAGACCTACTCATACTTAGACTCACACATACTCGGACTTACCCATGCTGAGACTCACTCATACCCAGACGTACTCATACTAAGACTCGCTCCCAGACGTACTCATACACAGACTTACTCCTACTCAGACCTACTCATACTCAGACCTTCTCATTGTCTGAATTACTCAGCACGCGGCAAATTGTCAGGATGTCTCAGGCGGGGCGATGGTTTCCGCACCTCCAAAGCGAGCCGCCAAGGGAGTTTTCACGGTCCCGCTCGCAGCGATTTTGTGGGGATGTCTCAAGCGGTTTGCCCGTGTTCTGTCTCAACATCCTTGACTATCAGAGAAGACTTTGAGGATGTCTCAGGCGGAGCGCTGGTTTCAGCACCCCCAAGGGAAGCCGCCAGGGGAGTTTTCACGGTCCCGTTCGCAGCAATTGTGTGGGGATGTCTTAAGCGGTTTGCCTGTTTCCTGTCTCAACATCCTTGGCTATCAGAGCAGACTTTGAGGATGTCTCAGGCGGGGCGCTGGTTTCAGCAACCCCAAAGGGAGCCGCCAGGGGAGTTTTCACGGTCCCGCTCGCAGCAATTTTGTAGGGATGTCTCAAGCGGTTTGCCTGTTTTCTGTCTCAAAATCCCTGGCTATCAGAGCAGATTATGAGGATGTCTCAGGCTGGGCGCTGGTTTCGGCACCCCCAGGGGGAGCCGCCAGGGGTGTTTTCACGGTCCCGTTCGCAACAATTGTGTGGGGATGTCTCAAGCGGTTTGCCTGTTTTCTGTCTCAACATCCTTGGCTATCAAAGCAGATTTTGAGGATCTCTCGAGCGAGGCGTTCATTTTCACCCCCCAGGTGGGCCAGATTTTGAGAATGTCTCAATCGGTTTGCCTGTTTTGGTGGCCAGACTCGTGGGCACAGATTCTCCTGAGGATGCCACAGGAGGCTCCAACAGGCTCCAGGATGCCACAGGAGGCTCCAACAGGCTCCAGCAGGCTCCAGCAGGCTCCTGAGGATGCCACATGAGGTCCCAGGAGGCATCAGGAGGCCACAGAAAGACTCAAAAGGCCACAGGATGTCCCAAGAGGCTCCAGGAGGCCCTAGGAAGCTCCAGGAGGCCTCAGGAAGCGACAGGAGGCCCCAGGAGGCCACAGGAAGCGCCAGAAGGCCTCGGAATGCAACAGGAGGCCCCGAGAGGCCCCAGGAGCAGGAGGCCTTAGAAGGCAACAGGAGTGGCTCCAATCCCATGTGTTTTACGCATGCTCCTATATATTGGGCCTCACCTGGAGTACGAATCCTTGATGTTATACGTATGTTTCTATAGATTGTCCTTCTCCTGTGCACAAAATCCTAAATGTTTTACTTATGTTCCTATATATGATCGCGGGCTCCGGGCCCACGGGACCCCCCCCCAGATGGGATGGGGCTAAGGGTCCTCGGGCCCCCCCCCCTGATGGGATGGGGAGGAGGAAGAGGAGGAGGAGGAGGCGGAGGAGGAGGAGGACGACGACGACGACGACGGCGACAACGACGTCGACGACGACGACGGCGACGACGACGGCGACGACGATGACGACGACGACGGACGACGGACGACGGCGGACGACGACGACGGACGACGACGACGACGACGACGACGACGACGACGACGACGACGACAACGCCGACGACGACGACGACGACGACGACGACGACGACGACGACAGCACCGGCGGCGGCGGCGACGATGTCGAGCACTGGAGCTTTCCGAAAGCACGTCAGCATGACGCCACAATCACAGCCACACGCACACCCACACCACACCCAAAGGAGGGAGGGGGGGAGGACATTGGGTCACCCCACACACACCCACAGCAACACACCACACCCACAGGGGGAGGGGTGGGGGGACCATCGCGCGGGGGGGGGGCGGCGATGGCATTAGCGTTGGGGGGGGCCCAAACCATCGACCACATATTGGGCCTCTCCTGGGGCAGGAGTCCTTGGTGTTTTACATTGTTCCTACAGATTGCCCTTCTCCTGTGGCTCCAATCCGCAATGTTTTATGTACGTCTGTTGCTATAGATTGGGCCTCTCCTGGGGCACCAATCCTCCCTAGGAGGTACCAGGGGGCCCCAGGAGGCCCCAAGAGGCTCCTGGAGGCCCCAGGAAGCCCAAGTAGGTTACAGGAGGCCCCAGGAGGCCCCAGGCTCATGCGCAGAGACGCGCTCGTACTACTGAGGCTCATTCACACTCCAATTCATTCGCAGTTACATTCAAGACCAGACCGTCACAACTCAAGCCCGTTTATATTCGAAACCTCTTGCGCCTAGACATTCACGGCGGACAGGTCCATGCGAATAGATGCACATATGGGGAGCTCCACGCAGTGCATAATTCGCGAGTCCAGGATGCTCCTGGATGGTCTCCGCCGACAAAAAACAACAACGCACATGTCCGAGCGAAACCACGGAGGTCGAAAGAGGGGGAAGAGACTGCTCCCGCCAAATCCTCGCAACGCGGGGACCAGACGGCTTCGGAGATCCCTGGAGGCCTCCGTGAGTCCCGGGTGGTCCCCAAGAGGGCCCCGTGGAAGCGCCCCGAACTTGGCGGAGGACCTCGGAGGCCCAGAGGCATCATACCACGTACACCAACCCTCGCAAGAAGTAAGAGAAGGAGAAACAGCATCAAGATGGTGGAGACGAGGAGTAGGAGAAGCAGGAGAAGCAGGAGGAGCCCGGGACCCGCGGTTTTGACGCGATGGTGGACCCGAGGGGCAGCACACTGCGGTCTACTCAGGCGCTGCTCGCACTGGGGGGGGGGCGGGATGACTGGCAGGGTGAAGACACGTGCGCTCTTCGCGCACCGCCGGGGCCTCACAGGGGGGCCCCTTTGGGGCCCCGAAGGCAACAAAAAGGGTGCACCTGTCTTCGCCCCCCCGCCGCTCATCGCTCATCGCCCCCCCCAGTGCGCAACGCCCATATCTACGGGCGCGGCAGCCGACGCCAGGGGAGCGGCGGCGGGCGCGGGGGGAGGCTCGGGGCGCGCCCGGGCATGCGGCCTCACACGGCGACGCCCCGGCGCGAGAGCGGCGCCTGCGGCCCGTCGCCGAGCGCGGCGTCCTGGCGCTGGCGAGGGAGGGCGGAGGAGGACGGAGTGGGCGAGGAAGGCGAAGGAGGGAAAGAGGGGGAGGAGGGAAGGAGGAGGAGGAGCAGGAGGAGGACCAGTGTAAACCCAAGAGTCGTCAACGATGTTGGACAAACAAACCCTCCCTCCAAGCTCCCTCTTCATAGGCCCCTACAACGGTTCATTCCCACTGAATGACATGCCTCGTTGGAAGTCAACCGATTGAAGACCCTGGAGAATGCCAAAGTATTGTTCTCGGGAGTCCAACGCCACGGATAAACCTGACTGTTGCGTCTTGACGGTCCTGTATCGTAACAGAAAGCCATTCCTGAGACTTCAACACCACGAACCAACGTAACTGTTCCACCCTCATAATCTGGACTCCTTCCAAATTGCAATATCTTGTACGCTTATCATGGAAATCCGTGACAACACTGCAAATTAAAAAACACATGCGCGCGGCGCAAAAGCGAGAACCACCGCGCGGCGCTAAAGCGAAAACCACATTTTGAAAACGGCCCGCCCTGAATGCTTGAAATCCTTTCAAATGTTCAAAATGAATGCGCGCGGCGCCAAGGCGAGAGCCACAATTTGAAAAAAAAAAAAAAAAAAAAAAAAAAAAAAAAAAAAAACCCTCAATATGCGAAGCTCTTGCAACATTAAAACCTTCAGGTCATAAAGCATGACAGAATCTCAGGCGAAACGCCTGGCCCGCCGTAAAAACTGGCCTCGGGGTGCGACAGGGGGAAGCTATGTGTAAGAATCTGGAATGGAGGAGGAGGAGGAAAAAGAGGAGGAGGAGGAGGAAAGGGAGGATAGGGAGGAGGAGGAGGAGGAGGAGGAGGAGAAGGAGGAGGGAGGAGGGAGGAGGGAGGAGGAGGAGGAGGAGGAGGGAGCTGCTGCTGCTGCTGCTGCAATCTGCATCGATGTCCATATGAGCTAGCGTAGCTATCTAGTTGCGGGCACCACAAAGCCTGGGTTTACTCTCTACCGGGAGGCCTTTGGGACCCGACATGGAACACAGGCCTGGAAACGCTGCGGTTGCGCGCGCAGCGCACGCAGTGGCTCCATGGCACGGGGGTAATCCCTCCCTCGAAGTACGAGTTATTCTCTCAATGTGATCCTTTGCTGCAGGGCCTCCTGCCCCTCTTCCAGGAAGGCGAGGGAGGGGAGGGAGCCAAGCAAGGGAGGACGAGGAGGAGGGAAAACCCTGGATCAAGCTACGCTCGGCCTGCTGCTCTACATCTCGTCTCCTTACTTGGGCTGCTCGCTCACTGCCACTCCTTCTCGTCCTAACACTGCCCACTTGCCCCTCAACGCATGCGCCAATCCTCCCACGGGTGCCGTGCCAAGGAGCTTCGTCAGCCCCGATGCTCGGAGTCCGAGCGACATCAAATGGTTGATCTCCACCAGCGTGTATCTGTTTGCCGTGTTCAACTCCTGTGGGTGGACCTTCTTCACGTTGAGCTCTTCTTCCTGTGGTAGGGTCAGCCGTGCCACCCGAAATTGACAGCGAGCTTCGAGTTGGGAGCGCAGCGTTGTTTCTGCTGGAGCTCGCTGGCCCTGCGCGTGGCGCACCAGCCCTCGAAGTCCGCCGGGCCCGGGGCCTCTCGCACGCCGTCGAGCCGCTTGATGACCGAGGAGATGCACTGAATGTCATCGCGCTTGCCTTGCGCGCCTGCGTTCGCCAATGTCAACAGTGGAGCCGCGCCAGCGTGAAGACGAGGGGATCCGCATTCGTGTCCTCGTCCTGACTCTCGCACGAGGCGCTCGCACTTGGTCGCCGCCTCATTCAGCGCCAAAAAAGCACGGTGGCCCGCGGGGCCTTTGAAGCGAATGTCCGATGCTCCTCGTTCCCCCATCCTCGCCTCCAGCTGCAGCATGAGTTCCCTCTCCTGGCCGTCGCCGTTACTCCTTGCGCCCCCCTTGCTTTTCTTGGCCAGCGGCGCCGCGCTGCCAGTCTCTACCTGCTCGACTGCCCCCAGCCACTTCGACGTCAAGATGAGCGAAATGCTTCGCGATAGTGTGCAAAATGTGCTCGGCGGCGAATTGCCTGTCCGACTCCGTCGGGCCCTGAGCTTCGCGCGGGCGCAACGGACAGGGCGCTTCGGAGCTCTGGCGCTGGAATATCGGATGTACCTTTTGGTGGCGACTGAGACAGGAAGGCGTCACTGCGCCGTAGCTCTGTCCGCAAAATTGCCGCTGCACCAGATGCCAGAATTCGACAAAGTGGCGATGCGAGGAATGCGATCTGCAGCGCATATCTGCCTTGGTATCGCCTCGAAGTCCTCCCGCCATCCCGCGCGCATTCTCATGCCATGTGAAACCATTCCTCCCCTGTCAACGAAGCTCCCTCCGCGGACAGGGCAGACGTCCCCTGGGGCCCCTCCTCGAAGGCCAGCAGGAGTGGGAGGCCGCGGGGCCCCCAGGGCCCACGGGGGAGGGGGCGACTAACTCCCTTGACCTTGGCCCAGACGCATCAGTCCCACAGGGAAAGAAACCAGGCCCCCCCAGAGAACGAATCCAAACAACAACGCGCATCTATGAATTCGGAAGATCCTGAGCGCCTGAGCGCAATTCCAGAACTGCTGAAGCCACGCATTGGCCGTTGGCAGAACCCTACCTTATTCGTCTACATCATGGTTTATCCTCGCACATCTAACTCGCCCTGCCAAGTCCGCGATCACGTGTTGGTGCGCTTCCGGATGATTTACGATGTCCTGCAACCACTTCAGCCCCCGGATTCGCTGCTCCGCGAACGACGTCGCGAACTTCGAGTGCCCCCGCGGCCACGCGCTGCGCATCCGCGTCCAAAATCTCGCGGGCTATCTCATCTACAAAAACTGCAGTGGCCAAATCATTGACCGACCCATCATGTTCAGCACGTCGTGGGCAAGGAAGCCGCGCGCGAAATCCTAGTTGCAGTTGATCTCCGTTCACCCCGTCGATCATAATCTGAACTCCACTGCCATTGGCTTCGACAACAGATTCGGCAGGCGCGGGGTCGCCAAGTGATGCGCCTCTCTGATTGGCCATGAGTCCGCTGTTCGCGCCGTCGTCAATAGTGGGCGTGCTGTTGTGAATGCGACGACAGAACATATCAACTCTCGTCTCCAGTGCAAATTGATCAGCTGCTTCTTCCGCTTTGGATTTGTGAGCACAATGAAACGCATTGCTGGCATCGTGAAATATCGCCATGTCGTGCATACCCTCTCGGCGTAGCCTGGCTAACCCACGCGTCTGAACAAGCGCGGCGTCTTCCCGTCCTCTGTGCTAGGCGCCCCCATGTGCCCAGCGAGGAAAACGCGCTTTCGGACTCAGACGAGACAGGAAAAAAGAGAAGATCTTCCGAGTCCACGAAAGATCATGTTTGGTCGCTTGTCCGCAGTGGTATCTTTATCGCTGCGTTTTGGCTATCTGCAACAATGGGCCCGGCACCTAGCTGCTGGCGCCCGCCCAACCTGTCGAGCTGCGCGACATTGCGCAGGCAAGCGTCTTGCGAACATTATTGCTTGAAGGTCGGCTGCTGGTTCTCTCTCGGCTTGTTCTGTATCTCCAGTGTGATCATCATCTGTCGCTCGTCTCCGCGCGTCCCTGGGCCCTCCTGGAGATGGCGTTCTCGACGAAATCCTGGTCCTCTGCGCGACTGGTATCCGTCTCGTCTTTGGTCTCCGCGCGCTCCGTCGTGAGGGGTTGGATTCTCGAACTGTCTGGGGCCTCCCGGGACGACCGAGCCGCCTGACAGACCCAAGACCTTGCCCAGTGAGTCTCCTGGACCCGGGCGTTCTGACGGGGTGCGTTGCGACCGTCGGCCGAGGCGACCAGCCCTACTCCTGCGCCACGTTCGGTGCCGTCGGCGTGGTCGGCGCGGTCTGGCACGGGTTGTTCTCCTGCGCTTCGAATCTCAAGTCGCCCGCGGCTCTGTGCAATGCCAGCTCGGCATGGGATGTCCTCGTATAAGGTCTCCCGCTACGCTCCTCAATGGCGCTGACCTCCAGGATGGTACCTTCGTGATCGCTCTCAGCTTCTCAACGCCATGTAGTGCGTCAGCGTGCGCTGCTGAATAATCAGAAAAAAGCCCCTCCTCGTCCTCGTAAGGATTCACACATTCCAAACAAGACTGCGCGTGTTGATCCGGTCCTGCCCCAGCTGCGTCAGTGAATGGTCGCCCCCAACAACCTGTGGCCAACTGTGGAGCTTGGCATATGTGAAGAACTTGCGCAGTGGCTCCTCCTTTCGTTTCCTGCTTCAGAAACTGGCTGATCCATGCCAGTGCTGACGCTCTTGTTGTCGGTACTATCGCATACATCAACCGTCTCGGGCCTCGGCGAGCTCCAGCTATGAGACGCGCTATACGATGCGCGTCAAAGAACTTGCGCTCTCTCCATCCTTCCCATAGCGCTTCCACTCTGTCCGTCAAAAGTTGGTATTTCATCTGTTATATTCCATCTTGATACGTCGACTGGCTCTGGCTATGGAAAGATCGATATGGTCATGTGTGGCGTTTTGCTTTTCCGCCTGTCGGCGCATGGCGAGAAGCCGCGACAACTCTCAGCATTGAGAAAAACAACGCTCCTTCTTCTCTGTGTAGCCTGGCGTTTCTCTAAATGGTGTGGTGGCAACCTCACTTACACACTCCATGAGGCCAGCGTTGATCTGATCTACGTTGCCCTCGTACCCCCACTGCTTGAAATATGTATGGTGTTCTGCTGTCAACTGGCCTCCACCTCGGAGATAAAAAGGCACCCCTGCGGTATCCGTAAAGCAGCATGGCATTGCAGGCCTCGGCGTTGTGCTTCGGTGAACCTGTTGTCCCGTGCTGCTGTGTATGAGTAACCCAGCCGGCAGTGGAAACTGATCTTGGGGCGCAGCACACCGGATATGTTGAAGTCGTTGACCCTTGCGCCATGAAGCCGTGCACCCTTGAACGTTGTCTCAAGCCCCGAGCGTGGGATCATCAAATAGTTTACGCGCTTCCTGCGGTCATCGGCGTTTCCGTAGTAACTGACTCCCGCCTGGAAGAACGTGTTCAATAAAATGAGATCGCGCGCGTTGAAGATCGGCTTGGTTGTGCCACAATTCATGTCATCCTTGCCCTGCCCGGCTGCCCCTGCTATCGGGTTCTCGGCGTTGTCCGCTGCGCAGGTTGGGCCCAAGTTTGTCCCGACGATGGGGACACATCTGGATGACAATCCGCTTAGTTGTGTATGAAAGCATGTGGTGAACTCCTGTGAGGTCGTTCCGTGGGGAGCCGCAGCACCTATCCGCTTGCCTCTGGCAAGATAGTACAACGAAACAATGTACGTCTTGTCGTCCACGTCGGTATCTAATCATCAGCCCACGTCCCTGTAATCTACCTCCTGCTGACTCCACTTGAATTGCATACTGGGGCTTGTATCGCTTGGTGCTGACTCCGATGGCTACCCCGAAGGACGTGCTTGCACCGCGACCTTAGCCTGCAAAAAAGAAACATGATGTGCCGTCGAACTCCGCGATGGTTTGCCTCTATCTCCCAAACATGTGATGTGGAGGATGATGAAGTCATTCTGGCTGAACTCATCGCTGATGTCGGTCTGTCTGCCTGGCGGCGCGGCGGTGACGGGATTGAAGGTCCTGACGCGCACAAGTCGCCAACCGCCGCCGCTCCCTCTGTCTGGCCCTGTCATCTTGTCTGTTCATGGAAACAACTGGACAGGGGGCAGTTTGTGAGTGTGGGGGCATTCGCTGCCTGGAACGATGGATCTAAAGGGGCACTTAGGAGAAGGGAGGAGGAGGGAGGAGGAGGAGGAGGTTGAAGAGGAGGAAGAGGAGCCCAGGGTATCGGGGAGGAGGAGGAGGAGGAGAAAGAGGAGGACGGCAGACAGGCCCACCCTCCTCCAGGCACTCCGCGACGTAGAGGGCGGCCGCCGCAAGGTAGGCACCGCAGGCCACGGTGTTGGCGGCCTGGAGCACGGCAAAAGGCTGGCCCTGCGCCACGAGCTCCGCGCTGAAAGGGAACGCCTCCGTGGCTAATGGTGCGGGGTTCGAAGATCGGGGTGACGGGGTGACGGGGCGTGTTTTGTCGATGCTAGTATAGAAGGTAAGCGTAGACGTGCAGATGAATATCTAATCGGTGCGTATGTATATATATATATATACACATACATACATACATACATACATACATACATACATACATACATACATACATACATACAACGGCAAGACCTCAAGACCTCACGACTATGTATATTTACATGTACATGACCCCATTCAGTGCTTGCGCTGAAGGGATCCGAATGGCAATTGAAAGATTTAGCGAACATTTCCCGCCGATTTTGGTGGCCGGCTGGGTTCCCGGGTTCCCGGTTCCGGTTTCCCGGGTTCCTGGTTATTGGTTCCAGGTCGATTTCGGTGGATTCTGGGTTCCCGGGTTCCCCAGGCTCCCGGTCGATCTCCTTATCGAACTCTTTATCGATCCCATGTCAAACCATCCACTGATTGGAGTTTTCTCTGATGTATATAGAGGGAGAGAGATGTATTGTTACACCTATATATACACACGCACCAGATTTTAAGGCTCGCTGCGCTTCGCCTTGTAATCCTGATCCTTGCACCGACATGTTTGATTGCCTCTGCGGTTGACATATTGATGTAGCCGCAGCACTGCTACGGCCCATTCCCGAACCTGACGTTGGGGAGGCTAACCTGAAGCAGCCCCGATTGGCAACAGACCCGACGCGTTCCGTCCAAACCGAGCGCCAGGATCGGCACTCGCCCAGCACGAAGGGACGGCAGCTGCCGTCGCCAGTTATCTCGCGACGGAGGTAGCCCTCGCAAAAGACGGATGTAACCGAGGCTAAAACGAGAGTGCCAGTCTCACGTACGGATGCGGCAGGCGCTGGGGCGGTAGCACAAATCTTGGAAATGGATGTGGCTGGCGCTTGGGCGGAGCACCATTCTCGCATGAGGGCTGTGGGAACCGTGCGAGTGGAGCGGCATCGCAATAGTAAATCAGGGCTGTGGCTGGCGCTGCGGAATGAGCGCCACGTTCCATGAAGGCGTTGGCCAACGCGCAGACAGCAGCATGACTCCCAGACGGGGGTGGCCAGCGCTCGGGCGAGAGCGCCAATCCCATCCAGGAATGGAACTTGTGCGCGACCAGCAGCATCATCTGCACTGAGGGCTGTGGCCTCTTCAAGCCTTGGCAAGCTTCCTGGGAATATTTGGGAAGCATTCTGGAAACTCTGGGGGCATCTTAAGCTTTCTTGGGGGTCCTTTTGTGGGCTCGTTTGGGCAAGTTGTGGGCCCTCTTGGGCCGTCCTGGAGAGCTGGGGCCGTCTTGGAGCCCTCTGGGGGCCCTCTTTGGCCGTCCAGGGGGCCTCCTATGGCCCTCTTGGAACTCCCTTGGGGCCCCTGTGGGACCCTCTGGGGCCACTCTCGGCCGTCTTGAGGCTCTCTTGGGCCGTATCGGAGCCCTCTTGGGCCGTCTTGGGATTCTCTTGGGGGCCTCTTGGGCCGTCTTGGGGCGATATCGGGGGTCTCTTGGGCCATCTTGGGCGCTGTCAGAGCCGGAGAAGCGAATAAACAAAAAAATGCACGCTTCCCGCAAGGAGTTTGACGATTGATGCCTCTTGGGGGCCCTATGGGGGGCCTCTTGGGCCGTTTTCGAACCTCTCTGGTCGTAAAGAAGCCGTCTTGGGCTCTCTCTCGGAGCGCTCTCGGGCCGTCTTGCTGGGGCCGTCTGGAAGTGCCTTTTTGCTGTCTGGGGAGCCCGATGTAATCTCTGGGGCGCTCTTGTAGGGTTTCCTTGGACCGTCTGAAAGTATTGAGGAGCACTCTTGGGGGCCTCTTCGGCAATCAGGGGGGACCGAAGGCGTATACCTCCCCCCTGGGGGGGCATGACGGTGACATGCCGGGCTTTTCCTTGTAATTTCACAGGTAGAAGACACATACACACACACACACACACACACACACACACATATATCTATATATATATATATATACATACATACAAGACTGCATTGGCGCTGCGCGCCATGCACCTTGGTCCTTTGAGTTCTGCACGCAAGCGGAATGCGTGCGTGCGTACATGCGCGCATGCATGTATACACGCGCATGTGCATGCACGTTCCTTATAAATTTCCAGGTGTATACATTATACTGTATGTGAGTATACAGCGTACATATGTACATATACAATTATGTGTGTAGACATGCATATGGAACTCGTACGGGGCATCCTCGGGCATCTTCGCTGCATGCCACGAGATCCTCAACGATTGGGTCACAATGTGAAATGTCATGGGAGCAAAAATCCTTGAATGTTGGCATTCGGAAACATCGTGGGGGTGTTTTCGGGGCCCTCGTGGGCCGTTTTGGCGCCTTCATGGGCCGTCCTGGGGCCTTCTTGGGCCGTCTTGGGGAGCTGGGGCCCGCTGGAGCCCCCTTTGGACCCATCTTCGATACTTCTGGGGACCTCCCATGGCCCTTTTGGATCTGTGCTGGGAGCCCTTGGGGGGCCTCTTGGTTCCATTCTGGGCTGTCTTGGGGCTCTCGTGGGCGATCGTGGGGCCCGGCTCGGCCGTCTTGAAGCTTTCTAGGGGGCATTTTTGGGCGTCTGGAGGCGATCTCGGGGGCGTTGAAACCGTCTTGAAAGCATATGCTAAAATTGTAATTTTTACGCAGGAAATGGCACGATTTTTGTGCTTTGAAGGCCCCTTGGAAAGCTTTTTGGGGTGCCTTTGGGGTCTTTATGTTGGCATTCGGGAACATCGTGGGGGGGGGTTCGGGGCCCTCGTGGGCCGTTTTGGCGCCTTCATGGGCCGTCCTGGGGCCTTCTTGGGCCGTCTTGGGGAGCTTGGGCCTGCTGGTCTTGGGCACTTCCGGGGACCTCCCATGGCCCTTTTGGGTCCGTGCTGGGAGCCCTTGGGGGGCCTCTTGGTTCCATTCTGGGCTGTCTTGGGGCTCTCGTGGGCGATCGTGGGGCCCGGCTCGGCCGTCTTGAAGCTTTCTTGGGGGCCTTTTGGGGCGTCTGGAGGCGATCTCAGGGGCTTTGAAACCGTCTTGAAAGCTGATGAAATCCGAAAGGCGAATATGCTAAAACTGTAAGTTTAACAAAGGGAATGGGGCGGTTTTTGTGCTTTGAAGGCCCCTTGGAAAGCTTTTTGGGGTGCCTTGGGGGTCTTTCGGGCCGTCCTGACGCAATTGGAGTCCCTCTTGGAGCGCTCTTGTGCTGCCTGGGGCCTCCCTTGAGCCTTTCTGATGACCCCTCGGATCGCTCTGGATCTGCTGGCAAGGCGTTTGTGGAGACCCGGAAAGCCGGGTGACCTTTTCCAAGGACGTCCAAGGGAGCCCGAGAACCCCAGATCCTGGGGGTCCAGTTTTTTGTTTTGGGGGGGGGGGGGGGACGGTTTCCCCCCGGGGCTTGTAAAAATATAAGAAGAGGAATATATGTATGCATACCCATGTATATACACGTGTATACATATACATATATATATATATGTATATATATATATGTATAGATATATACATGTGTGCACACACATATATACACATGAAATAAATACATACATATTTATATATGTGTATATATACATTTAGATATACAAATGTATATGTATATGTATATGTATATGTATATGTATATGTATATGTATAATATATATATATATATATATATATATATTATGCCAAGACAGCCACAACACATCGGCGGCGAGCGAGGTGGAAGTGAGAAGGATAAGGCCTTCTCATTGTGCGGCGGGGCTTCTCGGAAGGCCTCCAGCCTTCTGATACAATTGTTGCGTCTTCGGGGAAGGCTCAAGAAACTTCGTGGAAGGCCAAGGGACTTCCGAGCCTTCTGAGAAGGACCGCCCCTTCGCACTTCCCCCTGGTGAGAAAGCAAACGATGGTTTGTGCACACGGGGATGCCCTGTTCGGCATCCTGGCACTTCGCGGGGCTCCCTGGGGCCTGCACGACGGTCTCGTGGGGACCGCGTGGGGCCCCGTGGGAGCTGGTGTGCCTCCTGGGACGCTCTCGAGGGCCTCCTGGGCTCCTCGTGAGCGCCCTCGGGCCATGCTGGCGCTCTCTTGCACTGCCGGCGGGCCGTTTTCGGCCGTCGTGGACGCTATGAAGCCAGAAAGGGCGAGGCTGCGAGAATCATTACAAAGCCGAAGGAAAAGGGCTTGAGTGCGAGGGACATTCAAAAACCTAAGAAAGAGGAGGAAAAGAAGGAGGAAGAGGAGGAGGAGAAGGAGGAGGAGGAGGAGGAGGAGGAGGGGGAGACCTCTTGGGAGACTCTCGGGGCACTCGAGGGAGTTCCTGGGATCTTTCTGGGGGCTTCTTGGAAACGTCTTGGGGGCCTCCTTGGGTCTTTTGGGGTCCTTTGGGGGTTTCTCTGGGGGCCTGGGGCGTTCCTGGCCTGTCTGACGGCGTCGGAAGCCGTCTTGGGGGTCTTTCTGTACCGACTTGGGGCCCTCTCGGGGCGCTCCAGGGCCGTCTTGGGGGCCATCTTGGGTGTTCTGGAAGCCTCTTCGGCCGTCTTGGGGCCCTCTTGGGGTCGTCTTGGGAGCCTCTTGGGCCGTCACGGGCCCATCTTGGAGGCCTCTCGGACGATCTTGGGGCGATCTTAGGGCTGTTTGCGCCGTTAAGGCGGTCGGAAAGCCGAAAAGAGAGAAATGGCACAATCCATTGACAACCTAAGGGAAATCATGTGCTTTGGCTCCTTGTTGCCTTCCTGGAGGACACCTTGGAGGCTTCTTGAGCCATCTTGGAGGTCTCTTGGAGGCATCTTGGGCCATCTTGAGGCCATCCGAGGCGGCTTTGGGTGCATCTTGGCCGTCTTGGAAACATCGTGCGGTCACCTTGGGCTCCCTTGGGGCCCCCAAGATAATCTAACGGGCACTGGGCAGAGGCAGTGGGAAATTCCTGAACTGATTTGGGGCCTTCATGGGGCTCTGCGGGGGAGGTGTTGGCGTGGTCTGGCCACTGCGGAATTGCTGGGGGCTTATCGGATGTGATCTTATAGGATAAAGGAAGGTGTGTACGTGTGTTGTGGACATCACGGCTGAATGTTTGATCCCACCCTGGCGACTTGGTCGTCACGGCATTATTCTCGACGAAACGCACTCCCGAAGAGGTCTGGGGCTCGATTGCTGGGGTTCGAATTCGTCGTCGCCTCTCACACGAACGATTCGCTGAAGGGAATCTCCATTGCGGCCATTCGTCAGACAGCCGAGGGAATCTCCATTGCGGCCATTGCACGCACTGGGAGGATGTGTGAGGGTCCTGTATGCACTGGAAGGGAAGCCTTGAAGAGGGGGGATCCACAGCTGGGCGCGGGTCAACATGCGCGGCGTGTCCCGAACGGCTGGACCTTCCCCACGAGCTCGCGCCGAGGACCGAAGATCGATGTTCGAAGATCGCGGAGGCGGCCGCGCGCGGCTTCCGCCGGCCTGCCGCCGCGGGCGGGGCCCGCCGAAAGGCGAGGCCAGTGCTGGAACACGCCACGTCGCGGTCGTCGTGGTCCTCGTCGACGTCGCCCTTCCCCCCCAGAGAGAGCCCACGTGTTGCAGAAATCAAGGCGGGGGCTCTGTCTGCCTCTATATAGGGGCCCTCGCCTCCTCCTCCTCCCCCTCCTCCTCCTCCTCCCCCTCCTCCTCCTCCTCCTCCTCCTCCTCCTCCTCCTCACTCCCCCTCCTCCCAACTCTCGGCCTCTATATGTAGGGGCCCTCGCCAGGCCCCGGCAGTGCCAGCAAAAATGCCCCGCGAGAGACCGGGGCCGTCCGAATCGACTGGCGCGAGGCGGCGCGGCCGCGGCTCGGACAGCCGCGGCTCGGCCCGCCGCCGTCGCCGTCGTCGCCGTCGTCGGCGTCGTCGGCGTCGTCGGCGTCGACGACGACGACGACGCCGACGACGACGCCGACGACGACGCCGACGACGACGCCGACGACGCCGACGACGACGCCGCCGACGACGACGACCCCACGGGGCCGCGTATGGAACAAGTCACGGCATCGGGTCTCCGGGCCCGCGGCCTCGGAGCACGGCGAGGCAAGGGGGGCCCCCTTCTCTGACCGCTCCTCGCCCTCGGGAGGGCTCCCGTCTGGCTGTTCCGCGGGCCGACGGCGAGAGACGACGACAAGACAAGACAAGCACCCATGGAGTCCTCTGGTGTCCACGATACAGCATCGCTTAGAACTCTGGGCAGGCTGCTACACAGCCGACAGCAGTGAATATGTTGAGAGTGGATGCGGCCACTCTCTGCACAGAGGCAGCACGGGCCCAGGCTGGGGAGGCCCCCCGAGGCACGCAGCCCCAGATCGGGGCTCCCAGCTCCAAGGGCACCAAGCTTGCCTGTTCCTTTCCTCCCACGGCCCAACCCCCTCCCACGCCTCCCACCCCGACCCTTTCCTCTGGATACTGGCTGCCTGAGAGACGACGACGACGACGACGTCGACGACGACGACGACGACGACGACGTCGACGACGACGACAACGGCGACGACCGTGACCACGACCACGACCCCGACGACCACGAAAACCATGGCGGGCCAGCCAAGACGACGGTGTCAACGACGACATTCACTACGAGGACGACGTAGTGCCATGTCTGAACTACGTTCAGGCCCCGCTCCAACACGGTACGGTGCATAGCTCTTTCGGCCCTGAGGACCGAAACACGATGCACCGTACCATTCCTGGGTCGAGAATCGACGACGCCTCGGGAGACGCCAACGCGGTACGGTGCACACAAGTCGTCCACGGATTAACGATGACGACCACGACGACCATGGACCACAGGTTTGAGTCGTGCCCAACCGCACACGGACCCGCGGGAAGTCTTCTTTCCATACCGCATCGTATCAACCAGCCGAACTACGTTGCTTGCCTGACGTGATCACGAGCCATATCACCAGCCATCTTATGTCACCCCACGGGCCTGCAGGAAGTAGTACGCCGAGAGGGAGGCCTGGAGGGGCATGAGCGCATGAGCGAAGCCGACCGAGACGCCGCCCCAGCCGCTGCCTTCGATCAGCGCGGCGCGCAGGAGGTACGCCAGCGCGGCGAGCAGATCGCAGCAGTGAGCAAGTACAAAGAGGCTGTCGGACACCGCGTCACCGGACAAGTTCAGGCGATTGCGGAAGGCGAAGACGGCGGCGCCTGAGCCTGCCAGGAGGACGGAGGCAGGAGCCTTGAAGATGGCTCCGCGGCTCATGCCGAGCAGGACAAGCAGCGCCGCTACTTCGAACGCGGCCTCCGCGGGGGCTCTCGGAAACGGAGTTGTGGTCGCCGTCGACGTCGACGTTGCAGCTGTTCTCGCCGCCGTCGCCGCCGCCGCCGCCGTCGCCGTCGATGCTGCCGTCGTCCCACCTCCGACGTCGGCATGTTTCCATGACGCGGGCCGCCAGAACTCTCCATCCGGTCGCCAGGAGGTCTTTTGTTCGCCCGGGGCCGACACTAGTGTCGGCCCCGGGCGACCGAGAGTGGCCCCATGGCCCATGGAGCTCGATGGCCCCTGGCCCCTGGCGCCCGAGAGTGGCCCCCGGAAGCCGAGGTATGACAAAACACCGACCAGCGCCTGTTTTTTGTGGGGCGAGCCGCTCCGCGCCCCAGCTTTCCTCCTCCTCCTCCTTCTCCTCCTCCTCCTCCTCCTCCTCGTCCTCCTCCTCCTCCTCCTCCTCCTCCTCCTCCTCGTCTTCCTCTCTTGCTGCCGGCAGTCCGCGAAGCCGCCCCACCCGGCTTGCCCGAGCGCGCGTGCGGACTGCCTGTGCCGCGCTGCGCCGGTAAAAAACGTCCTCCTCCTCCTCCTCCTCCTCCTCCTCCTCCTCCTCCGTTGGGCGGCGCCTGGGTGGCTGGACGTGTCGCCGTCGTCACCGTCGCTGCTTCCGCCGCCGTCGCCGCCGCCCTCGTCGGAGCCGCTGTGGCGACGCCGCTGCCATCATCGCCGTGGGAGCCGCCGCCGCTGCCGCCAGCCGCCATGGCCCTGTGTGTCGCCGTCGCAGCCGGGCGTCGGGGCCGCAGTGGCCCTGGACATGCGGCCTCGCGAACCGCACCGACGTCGTGATTTGTTCGTGACGTCGACAGGGGTCCCAGCCCTTTCCCCATGACCGGCTTTTCATCCTGAGAGCCTGTTTTTTTATGTTCCGGCAAGTGTACTTGCATGGACGGGAAGGGGGGCTTGAGCCTGAAGTAAGCCGCAGACGACTTGCACGTGCAGAAACCACGAAAGTCGAAAGACACTTGCACGCCAGTGTTCGTCTGAAGAGGTGCGAGGGGGGGGGGGGGGGGGGGGCGAATGCCATGCAGGCGAACTCGCCTGAATCTAAAAAACCAGCCTCTGAGTTGTTGTCTTTTGACGGTCCCGAGGCCCAGTGGGGGCCCCCAGAGACCGCACAAACAAGCGAAAAGCTTCCCGTCGCGATGCTTTCGGGACTCGAGGGGGTCTGGGCCCCCCGCCCGCCGCTCGGGGGCTGCGCCTGTTCCTCCCAGGCATTTTGCTCGGGCTGGCGGTGGACAAACCCCCCTTTAGCAAACCACCCTTTAGTGAGAACGGCCTAAGACCGAAACCGACGGGCCTGGACCCGCAAAAATGACGGCCGCGACGCCTTCTCGCGAACCGAAAACGGCCAATCCGCTAATCGACGTGTCAAGGTAGGAGGTCTATCCACCTCCGATCGGGCGGCCCCGAGGCCCGAAACAGGCCCAGATGCCAGAGGGAGCCCCAGAGAAGGAACGGCGGGGCCTTTTTGCTTTTCTTGCCACGACGGGAAACGGCCACGAACAGGTCTCCCGACCTCTTCCTCCTCCTCCTCCTCCTCCTCCTCCTCCTCCTCCTCCTCCTCCTCCTCCTCCTCCTCCTCCTCCTCCTCCCCCTCCTCTTCCTCCTCCTCCTCCTCCTCCTCCTCCTCCTCCTCCTCCTCCTCCTCCTCCCCATCCTCCTCCTCTCCTCCTCCTCCTCCTCCTCCTCCTTCCTCCTCCTCCTCCTTCCCCCTCCTCCTCCCCCTCCTCCCATCCTCCTCCTCCCTCCCCTCTCCCCCCCTCCTCCTCCTCCCCTCCTCCTCCTCCTCCTCCTCCGCCTCCTCCTCCTCCTCCTCCTCCTCCTCCTCCTCCTCCTCCTCCTCCTCCTCCTCCTCCTCCTCCTCGAGAGAGAGAGAGAGAGAGAGAGAGACTTTTGCTGGCGTCTGCTGCAGGCGCGTCGTGGCCACGTACGCGGAGGCAGCAGAGGTCCAAGCAGAGTGTTTCAGAATGGTGCACTCAATGCAAAGAGTGCAAAGATACATCGTTTCATCGAGTTTGGGAGTGCTCAAGTCGCCAGCACCACGAGATCTACACGCTTTCGGATGAGTTCGCGGCCAAGGCACAAGCAGGACAAGAGTCGGAGGAGTGCTTCTGGGTGCGGGGGGCTGATCCCAGCACCGTGGCTGTCGGTGCCAGAGCCGATCCAGGAGGAGGATTGGACTTGCCATGGTATGTCAGGCTCCGCAGAGGCATGGCTTCCAGAGGGTTCCGAGTCAGCACCCACCTTCATCTTCGGCGACGCGAGCGGGGGAGCAGATACACAGGGTGCTGCTCTACGGCGTGTTGGGCTGGCGGTGGCTGTGTATTCGGACCTGACCAGCGACATGACGATCGAGATCGGCGTTTGGGGCGGGCTCCCAGGAGCCACCCAGACCGTGGCGCGGGGCGAGCTGTACGCCTTGTACCTCACGGTGCGAGGTGGCTGTGGTCACATCGTGTTCGTCACAGACAACGCTGCAGTTTGTTCAGGCTGGTATAGCAGCCTCCCTTTCGCCCCAGCAGGTGGAAACGCAGATCTCTGGTTCCTCATAGGCTCCGTCTTGAAAGCTCGAGGCTCTCAGTTGTCAATAACTGTTTTCTTTGTGCACTCTCACCAGGAGGCAACAGATATGTGTAACAGTAGGACCCCAGTCCCACTCATCCTTGGTAATGCCGTGGCCGACGAGTTAGCTGTAGCAGCTGCAGGCACAGTGCGAGTGAAGCCCAGCGTACGTGCACAGATTTATCGCACCGAGCGCATGGCACACCTTGCGATAATGAGAATATGGTTGAGCACGTTGGAAGCAATTGAGGCCGAGAAAGATCATGAGGGCCCGATGCCCCGTCTGAAGCACCCTGGTCCGCGCCCTCCAGCTCCAATGATCTGTAGTATGTTTCGGTCTCAGCATCAGCTTAGTGAGTCAGGCCCTAGTTGTGAACGTTGCAAGGGGTCGACCTCAGAGGCCCAGAAGAAGGCCTGGCTGGACTCTCCATGTTTCCCCCGTTCCACGGGCGATGGTGCAGTTTGGGAACCCCCTCCAGGGCAGCGGGTGCACGTTGGGGGGATATGCCCATTCGTCTCACCGTCTTAAGTATCATGCTGGACTGGCGGTTTGGTTCTGCACTACCTGTGGAAGCTTTGCTGCAAAACAGCTAGCTAAGTTATCCAAGGAGTGTGATCCTAAGCGTAGTCGTCAAGACTACCTTAATCGAATTCAAAAAAGGTTTTTGGCAAAAAAATATAGCAAAGCTGAGCGAGCCAAGCGTGCCTCTGCGGGTAAGCCCGTTTAAGTTTGCTGTTTGGGATCTCTATTAGTAACCGACACAGTCGCAATATCCATAACTTCGTAACTCCTCCTCCCCCTCCTCCTCCTCCTCCTCTTCCTCCTCCTCCTCCTCCTCCTCCTCCTCCTCCTCCCCTTCCTAAGCCTAAGGGACGGCCCGAAAAAACAGTGCCCTTCTGAGCACAAAGTTGTCCGCAGGTCCGAACCATGACTGCACACTAGCCGAAGCTGAACAAAAGCGACCGATGCGCTGGCCTCGCGGCGCCGCCAACATCTGAAGTCTCCACAAATGCCTCAAGAGTCTCGTCAGGTTCCCGCGGAGGCACTCGGGGAAAACCTGGAGATTCCGGAAACCTCCTACGGAAGCCCAGAAAGACGCAACAGCGCAAAACACCTTACGGTCGCAGTTGCCAACGTCCAAGGACGCCCAAGAACATCCAAAAACGCAAGAGGACGAAAGCCGCCGCCGCCGCCGTCGAAGCATGCCTCCTCTGACGATCCCGAAACCCAAAACTGGGAGGGCGCGCCGCTGAATCTCCCCAAAGGGGGGGGTAGGAACCCCTCCCCCCCCCCTTCCCCCGATCTGTCGTCGGGGACCCCCCCCCTCCCACCCTTTTCCGGTCCGTCGTCGGGGACCCCCCCTCCCCCCCTTCTTCAAAGGGGGAGTGGGTTCCGGACGCCCCTCCTTCCCCTCCCCCCCTTTGGCCGCCGAGTTCGAACCTCCCCCTCCTCACTTTTCGCCACGGCGCCCCCTGGCTCGGCAACCCCACCCCGCCCCTAACATTCAATCGCTGTTCCCTATGAATGTACACCCCTCCCCCAGGCGACTGGGAGCCAACCCGAGTCAATGAGGGCACCCCCCACTATCCCTTCTGAAACACAACACAAAACACACTCTCCCTCATTCGGAGCATGTGCAGCGAACCCGATGCGGCCTCCCCCCACCATACCTGTCAAACAACAATGCAGACTACACTTGGCGGCGGCGGCGACGGCGGCGGCGGCTGCGGCGGGGGCAGCGGCTGCGGCGGCTGCGGCGGTGGCGGCGGCGGTGGCGGCAGCGGCGGCGGGGACGGCGGCGGGGGCGGCGGCGGCGGCGGCGGCGGCGGCGGCAACGGTGGCGGCAGCGGCTGCGGCGGCACCGGCTGCGGCGGCGGCGATTTGGCAGCGGCGGCGGCGGCGCGGCGGCGGCGCGGCGGGCGGGCGCGGTGGCGGCGGCGACGGCGGACAGCGGCGGCGGCGGCGGCGGCGCGGCGGCGCGGCGACGGGCGGAGGCGGCGGCGGCGGCGGCGGAGGCGGCGGCGGCGGCGACGGATTCGCCCCCAGTAGCTGCCCATACGAAGACGACTGCTGAATATGCTGCGGTTCGGGCCAGGCTCGGGTGCTGCGTATGTGCTGGGAGGGTGGGTGGGAGGAGCGAGACGGCCTGCGGGCGGGGAGGGAGTCTCGTCCTCACCCTTACCGTAACCCCTAACCCGAACCCGAAGACCTAACCCCAAACAAGACACACTACTCATTAGTCACTCCTCACTACCCACTACTCACTACTCACTGCTCACTACTCACAACTCACTTTTCACTACTCACTGCTCGCGACTCACTACTCACTAACCACTACTCACTACCCACTACCCACTATTTACTACTCACTACCTCCGACTCACTATTCACAACTCAGTACTCACATATCACTTCTAACTACCCACTACTCAATACTCACAACTCACTAAACACTACTCGTTACCCACTACTCACTGCTCACTAACCACTACTCACTACTCACGAACCACTATCCACTCCTCACTACCGATTACTCACAATTCACTACTCACTCATTGACCACGAGTCACTACTCATTGTCCAATGCTCGCTACTCGCTACTCCCTACTCCCTGCACCTTACTCACCACCCACTACTCACTACGCACTACTCGCTATTCCCGACCCGCTACTCGCTACCCGATACGCAGTATCCACTACCCACTACTCACTACATACTACACCCTTCTCCCTACTGCCAACTCACTAGTCACTATTCACTACTCACGACTCACTAATCACTACTCACTACCCTCTATTGCTTCCTACTCACTGTTCACTACCCACTACCCACTTCTCACTTCTCACTACTCCCTACTCACTACTCCCGACCCCCTACCCCCTACTTCCTACTCGCTACTCACTACTCACTATTCGCTACTCCCTACTCGCTACTCCCTACTCTCTGTTCACTTCTCACGAGTGTCTACCCGCTCCTCACTACTCCCTACTCACAACGCCCTACTTGCTACTCACTACTCACTACTCGTTACTCCCTACGCACTACTCACTACGCACTACGCACCACTCACTACTCACTGCTCATTACTCACTACATACTCACGACTAACTCCTCACTATTCACTACTCACTACTCTCTACTCGCTAGTAAGTATGCACAACCCACTACTCACTACTCACCACCCTCTTCTCGCTACCCGCTACTCACTCCTCACTACTCATTACTCCCCACTCCCTACTCGATACTCACGATTCACTTCTTACTACTCACTGCTCACTGCTCACCACTCGCTACCCACTACTCACTCATCCGGACTCGCTACTCACTATTCCCCCCTCCCCGCCTTTCCCGGTCCGCCGTCGGGACCCCCCCCCCTCCTTTCTCCTTCCAGCGCCAAGGGAGACGGGGGGGCGGGGGAGGGGGGTCCGGAACACCAAGGGGGGGGGGGAGAGGGGGGTTGGGAACCCCCCCCTCAAGGGGGGGAGGGGGGGGGTCGAAAATCTCACACCCCCTTTGAAGGGGGGGAGGGGGGGGATTCTGCGAGCACCCCCCCGTTTGCAATTACAGTGTGATCCAGTGGATCGCATCCGAAAGTGGCCTCCAGTGGCCGACATTTTCGTCCCGATCGTATCGTGACGCCAGCAGTGCGAGGGCCGCCGCCGCCGTCGGGGCCGTGACGGTGCCGCCCAGGGGGCCCTCCATCGCGTAGTCGCTGGACCTCGCCAGAAGTGCCACACGCGCGGCGGCGCCGAAGAGCCTCGGGGCGGGTCGGGTGCGGGGGGGGGGGCGGGAGATGATTTTGTCTTGTCTTACTGCGGCGGCACGGATTTGGGCATCCACCTTGCTGCCAACCACGCGACCGTCCTGGGACGTTCTGGGGCTTTCTTGAAGCCGTCTTCGAGCCGTGTGGGCCCATGTTGGGGCCCCTGTTGGCTCTCTGGACCCCGGTCTGGGCGAGTTGAAGGCGATGGGGACTGAGACCCCGTCGTGGTGCGAATCAGGACGTTTGTGACCCGTTTGGACGGGAATGTGTGCGCTGCGGGGGCCGTTCAGGGGCCCTCACAATTTCGGACCACAGGCGTGTTGGGTATATCGGGCCGTTTCCTGGGAAGTCTCTCGGAGGCCAGTCCAGGGCCGTCGAAGAGGCGTGCAGAAGCTTCTTCGTGCCTCTTGGAGGGATTTTGAGGGCCCGTTTTGGGCCTCCTGGGGGCGCCTTGGGGCGCCTCAGGTTTTTTGTTCAGACCATCTTGGGGTGAGCTCCGCTGGGGTGGAGACCTCGAAATGTGAGCTCGAGTCTCCTCTCTCACAAACTATTGGGACCCTCTTGAGGTTTGTTTGGGTCTGTTTGGCTGCCGTTTGGACCGTCTTGGGGCCCACTTGGCCTGACTTGGGGCCGTCTTGGTTCATGAGTCGGCTTCGGGAGATTTTGGGGGCCTCTTGGGTGGTCCACAACGGCGTCCCGTGCGCAAAAGCGCAAGTGCCGGAAATCCACGTTTTTCAAAAGAGGATTCTGAAACGATGTTTGCCTCGCGCGGGTCCGACAACTTTGACACTCTGTGTTTGAAGAAACCTCCTGTGGGTCGTCGGCGGGTGCTTTTCTGGGGGCGTCTGGGGCCGCATCGGGCCCTCGTGGGGCTCCTCGGCTGCCTGCCGGGTCGCTCCGGGCCCCCAGTTTGGCTGCGCTCGGCAGGGGCGTCCCACTGCCCAGAAGGCCCCCCCCATGACCCTCCGAGAGGGCGTCCGGGGCGTCCCTGGGGCCAGGGGTCTGGGGGTGTGGTTTGTGGGTGGGGGCAGGGGGGGGGGTCTGGGACATAGTGATGTATGAGGAATCGAACACACGTGCACATACACCTGCATCGCCTTCGACGACGTCCGCGACTTCCTCATTAGCTGCCCCAAGAAGCTCCAAACCGCCCCCCAGACGCTCCGAGACGCCTACTAGGCTCACCCTTGCTCCCGCATGCCAGTAGGATATCCGCCCCAAGAAACCAAGAGAACTCCCAACGCACTTCACCTACCTGCCACCCCATCCAACTTCGTCCGTGCAATTCGTCTGGCCCATCTGCACTGGGACGCTTCCCGTGACCTTCCCGACCCTGTCTCCCCAACCATTATCGTCCTCAGAGGCCCTCCACGACATCGGCACCTCGAAGCTGCTCGCGGCATTCCCGACGGTGTCCCCCTGACCCCGGCCCCCACTCTGCCCCAAACACACGTGGCTCCCCAGCCCCTGCCCCAGCTCAGCCCCAGAGACCCTCCATGGGCCTCCGCAGCTCGAGGCTGGCGGTGCCACCTGTCGCCGGCCCTGGAAAGTCACTCGTCGGAGAGCGGGGCGGCGATCCACGCCACACACGTTTCACCGCGGACGCGGAGGCACTCCTTCGTCGCTCGGACTTCGGACAGCGCGCCGCCGGGATCAGCGATCCAGCGGGCGAGAACAACCCTCGGCACCGCCGCTGCGCGGCTCCATCGCACGTCACGTCCGCCAGCCCCACCACAGACCGCCGCGCGTGCGTCCCGCGGCCCCGGGGCGACCAACCGCGCGCGCGCGCGCGTTTCTCCGATGGCTCGTTGCAAAGGAAGCGCTCCAGCCGTCAGTTGCCCCCCGCCCCCCCGCCCCCCCCAATCCCCGCGCCGCCGAGCCGTCTGCGCTCGTGCACTTCGAGGCCACTCGTGCCCTGCCCCCCCCCCCCCCCCGTCCACCCTCGCGCACTGCCGCAGAGGGCCCCTCCTATCCGATCGCCCATCGAACAGGCCGAGGCAGCTCGACGGGACGCCGCGGCGGTCCCCCTTTCGACAGTCGACGCGCGGCCGCAACGATGCGAGCAAGAACACACATGAGCCCCACCGCCGCAGGCCAAACGTCCACGTCCCCATGGAGATACCACCGACGAATCGCACTCCAGGGCGGCAGGCCGAACACTCACGAACCAGAACAAGGGAGGAGGGTAACTCTCCAAGGCTAGGCTTGCACCCGACCAGCGTGCAGACTGGCCCGCCCTGGAAGCTCTGAGCTCCCAGCACTACCCCAGCTCTGGGAGCCGCCGACTTTCCTTCCGCCGAGCTTCCGCTGGCGGAGCCGCTCTCGTTGCCCACCTCCCGCTGGTATCCCGCCGCCCTTCCGCTGGAGAAGAGACACCAACGTCCTCTGTCCACCGGAGGAAGGGCTGCACGGTTTCCCCTGGGGCCGTCGGCGACCCGAGGAGGAGGAGGAGGAGGAGGAGGAGGAGGAGGAGGAGGAGGAGGAGGAGGAGGAGGAGGAGAAGGAGGAGAGGAGGAGGAGGAGGGGAAGAGGGGAGGAGGGGGAGGGGGGGAAGGAGGAGGAGGAGGAGGAGGAAGAGGAGGAGGAGAAGGAGGAGGAGGGGGAGGAGGAGGAGGGGGAGGAGGAGGAGGGGGAGGAGGAGAGAGGAGGAGGAGATGGAGGAGGAGGAGAGGAAGAGGAGGAGGGAAGGAGGAGGAGGAGGAGGAGGAGGAGGAGAAGGAGGAGGAGGAGGAGGAGGACGGGTCGCCTAAGCTTTTCGGAGAAACCCTCCAGGCGGGGCCCGCTCGGGAGCGCCTCAGCCCCTGTGCCGAGTGCACTCCGAGCTTCAGGGAGTCGTGCCCCGAAAGATCCAGAGGCTCGCCCCCGAGCAGCACGCTGCGCCCGAGGACTGCTGCCCCCGGCGTGCCCCTGGCACCGGCCGCATCCGGGAGAGCACCGGGTGCGCCGGGGACGGGTGCCAGGAAGAGGAGGCGCTGACGCGGGCGAGGGAGGAGGGAGAAAAGAAGAGGGGCGGGGGATGAGTGAGGAAGGAGGAGGGAGGAGGTGGAGGAAGAGGAAGAGGGAGGAGGAAGAGAAGGAGGAGGAGGAGGAGGAGGAGGAGGAGGAGGAGGAGGAGGAGGAAGACGAGGGAGGAGGAGGAGGAGGAGGAGGAGGAGGAGGAGGAGGCGGAGGAGGAGGAGGAGGAGGAGGAGGAGGAGGAGGAGGGGGAGGCCAGGAAGAAGAAGAAGAAGAGACTGCAAGCTGGAGATTGCTCCAATGTCGTCCCGGGAGGGGGGGCTCTGCAAAAGGCATCAATGCGCTGGCACCTGTCTCGGAAGATGATGGCGCCGGCACTGCTCTTAGAGTAGGCTTGCCTTTCTGAATCGTGCGTCGCCGTCGTCTTCTTCTTCCTCCTCCTCCTTATCCTCCTCCTTCCATAGCCCACACGCGGGGCCCCAGGGATGGCCCGAAGAGTCCCTCCGAGGCCACCCCCTTGCTCCCAATGATCTTCGCCCATCTGGATTGCCCCCCGTGTGTCGCTACATGTGTGTCTTCGTGTCTTTTCCCGTCGACTCTCATGGACAGGGTTTTGGAATGGGCTGGTGGGTATACGCGAAGCGAGAATACCTTCTTGTTTCTGCGCCAACGCTTGTGAGAACGACCGCAATTCTGTATGTCAGAGCTGGTGACGGGCGCCAGCGTACTGACCTGCGGGAAAGACTCGCCAGGAATGTGCTGACCTGTGCGGGGGAGTGTCAACGCACAGACGTGCAAAGTAAAGTAGGTTGACGCCCAATCGGCATCGGCGCCTTGACGAACAAACACACTGGCCCGCACTGCAAACAGTCACTTGGGGCGCGGTGAATCGGAGTCGCTGCTGGCCAGCAGTCGGAGCGTCACTCGGCCATATGTTTCATCATGTACTCGTAGCCTGCACCTTGCTTACCGTAGCTGGTGACACACACAAAGCTGGCGCCTCCTCGCACTCGTCTGGTAACCAACCGCCCCTTCCTTGTGATGGTGTCCCCTGTTACGGGCGGACGCACCTTCTGCGGGTCCGCACCCGCCCACTCACCAAAATGCTTTTCGGTCTGCTCTGTTGTCGGCACTTTGACCAAGGGCACCCCTTCCTTCTGGCACAGTCCCAGTACGATGTCTATCTTGTCCTGCTCGTCGCAGGACTCCGCGAGGAAGACCACCTGTGCCCTCTTGCCTCGGACGTGCCTGCAAACCTCTCTGAAGCCACGGACGACGCCCCCCGCCACGAGGGCGTTCTTGAGCACTTGACGGACGGCCGCTGTGGCACCTGTCACCTCCTCAGTGGCCAACTCAGTCTCTTCCTCGTCGCCGCGACGGTCTGAAGCCTCGGACTCGCTATCCGTGAAATCGCTGACGAAAAGATCTATCTTGTCCAAGATTTCCTGCATGGTGAGCTTTGCTGACGGCGGCTCCAAGGCACTCTCGCCCACGACCGCCTGCAAGACCTTGGATTCGACTGGGTCGATTATGGCAAACACGACCACCCCTGAGTCTTCAAAACATCTTCCCGAGAATTCCCGAGAATCTCGGATCTCCTAAAAATCTTTCCGCGAATCTTCAACTAAATCTTCGCACCTAAACAATCCCCCAGAGAATCTCCCAACAATCTTCGCCCATACTGAGATGACCGCGGCGGTTGCTGAGAGAGAGAACGCGTTTCACGGGCGCTTGCCTTGGGAACATTCGGCGGCGCGTTTCGAATCAGGGAGTGGGCCCCCCCCCCAACACTCGGCGCCGTCGATCAAAACCAGGGGGACCCCCCCACACCCCCAACCCCCCCCCCCTCCCGAACCCCCCCCCTCCTTTCCAAAGAGGGGCGGGGGGTTCAAACCCCTCCCCCCCCCACCTGGCGCCGGGTTCAAACCCCCACCCCCTGGCGCCGGCGCCGGCGCTGACGGCGGCCCAGCACCGCCAGCGCTGGCACCGGCGGGGACGCAGCGACGATAACCACCACTACCACCACCACCACCACTACCACCACCACCACCACCACCGCCTCAACCCGCCACTACCACCACCAACCCACCACACAACCACCACACCACCACAGCCACCACCACCACAACCACCACCACCACAACTCGCCTTCACCACCACCACCACAAAAACCCACCACCACCACCACCACCACAATCTACCACGCCACCACCACAACCGCCACAACCACCACCACTACCAGCAGCACAACCCACCACCACCACCACAAACCACCACACCACCACCACCACCACCGCCACCACCAGCACCATCAGCACCACCTCCACAAACCACGGCCACCACCACAACCCACCACCACGACCACCACCACAAACCACCACCACACCACCACCACCACAACCCACCACCACCACCACAAACCGCCACCACACCACCACCACACCACCACCACCACCACCACCACCACCACCACCACCACCCACCACCACACCCACCACCACCACCACCACAACAACAAAACCACCACACCACCACCACCACAACCACCACCACCGCCACCACCACCACCGCCACCACCACCACCACAACCCACCACCACCACCACCACTGTCGTCCTCGTCGACGCTCCCTGCCGCCGCCAACCGCCGCCGCAGGCGCCGGCGCCGGCCCAGAAAAGGAAATCGTCGTCCCCGCCGCCGCCGCCAGCCGACGAGAGGGAGAGAGGAGAAGTATGGGAGCGGGGGGGGTCGAACCCCCCCCCTTCGTCCGTCACGGGAAGGGGGGGGGGTTCGAACCCCCCCACCCCCTCCATCCATCCAGGGGGGGGTCCGGTTCCAACCCCCCCCCCTCCAAGCGACCACAGAACGCGCTCTTTCTGAGGAGATGGGGGGGTTAGAAGTGGATGCTAAGGGTTGTAATAGCTGGCCGAACCTAACTTTAGGGTGCACGTGCGCTGAATGGTTTAGGGGGTTAAATAACTCCGCTAAGGTGGGCGGGGCACAGTTTTTGCTCGGATCGTCAACCTACTAAATCACTTAGAGCACCTGTAACCCACTTATGAAGTAGGTTTGACCATATAGAACCACTTTAGCATCCGCTTCTAAGCCCCGTGTTCCCTAACCAGACATTTGCAGTAGATTTCATAGAGATTTCTGCACGCTGGAGATTATCCGGAGATTCCATGTTTAGAGCCTGGCCCGCTAGAAATTTTCTGGAGGCTCCCCCAGAGATTAGATACAGCCCGGAGATGTCCGATAGAGGAGATTCTGGAATACACCTTGGAGCATTCACCAGAGACTTTCCATCCATGGGGCCCCGGTCGCGTGTGCAATATGTGTATTTATACATGTATGTATGCATATGTACACACACCTATATATATATATACACATTTACACATACATATTTTTTTATATATATATATGTATGTACACACATCAATATATATACACAAGACTGCATCGCGCCATGCACCTTGGTCCTTTGAGTCCTGCACGCAAGCGGAATGCGTGCGTGCGTACATGCGCGCATGCATGTATATTGGGTAGGGCTGGGGGCCAGGTCCCCCTTCGGTCTGGAGAACGGACCACGGGGGGTCCGTCAAGAGGGGAAAACGCCTAGACCGTCAACTTCCAAGTTGATGAGCGGAATTGCGCTTTCATTTCGAAGTGCTGTCGACGTGTCTACTCAACTTTAGTAAGTGCGTCTATATTCTAGGGAAACAAAACATACAAAGAAACACGTGCTCGCATACGAGGGCCTATTCCACACTCAAAACGTTGTTCATGAGTAGGGGGTTCGGAAGCGGCCTTGGATACACATGCAAGTAAATCTAGGAAAGCAGCTGCCGCGTCGTAGGAGGAAACGCAAGGAGGGAGAGGCTCATTCTGAGTATGTGTGCGGCGGGGGGGGTCTGATCTTAGCAAGAGCGCCCACATGCATTCTCTCATTATTCCCTCCTCTCACGTTCGCTTTTTTCTTACTGGGTCATCGCATCCTTCTCCTATGATTTCTGCCCCATGTTCGTTCCCCGTGGGTCCCTCCTCCCTCCTCCTCCCCCCTCTTCCGTCTTGGGCTCCTGCTTTTCATATGGCAACGAAAGTCTCCAACATGAAGAAGACCGAATGGCACAAACATAACAAATAAGGTTCTGAGCATAGGGCCTCGACAGGCCAAACGCAACATGATAGGGTGTAACAACGGCCTCAATGGCCATGAAATGGAGGGGACGCGCACTAGGCATCAGTGGGGGATCAAACTATACTTCAACCCTCCAAAACAAAACAGTCGCCTGGAGCACGGACTCCAGGGAGGGGGATATTAGTAGCCATCGGGCCCAGCCATCTTCGCAATGTTGTTCCATATCTCCATATTTGTACTGCGCTGGGCGCACCTTCTTGCATGCGATTGTGGCCGCATGAGCCAGATTGAATTTGATGGCCTTGGCATTCTGACGATACCAGATGTGGAAATGGCTCCAGAGATAACGCATCACATCGACCTCGTTGGCTCCCAACTCATGGACTCCGAATGCGTTCCAGGTCAGATCGATGTTCCTTCAAGGATCGCGCTTCCTGCTACTGCTGCAGCTGGCTTGGAGGACTCCGCCCAGATCGTGGTGGATGAGAGTATGGTTCCAGCACGTACGAAGCAGAAGTATATCAACAGGAGTTGGGAGCACGTGCAACATGCCAGAGATTGCAAGAAAGCGAGGCGTCAGGAAGCAATCATCGAGAAGCAATCTCAACAGTTGAAGGCCGCCGATGCCAGATTGCAGGTTGCAGCAGCATTGGCTCCAGCTGTTTCTACGACCGTAGGTTCCGCTCCCAGCAGGATTGGCCGCAAAAGCATCGACCAACTGATCCCGCAGGACTTCACTGTGTTGACGCGCGCGGTCTTCGTGAAGCCGACTGTTGGCGTTGCGCTCGGCATCAAACACCAGAGAGTCATTGCAGCTGCGGCTGGATTTCTTCTCGAACGACAGCAGGGGGCATTGTTCAGCATGATTACTGTGTCCAAAAATATCTTGCAAAAGTTTGAATGTGCTCGAGCGCACGTTTGTTTCACACATTTATGGGATGAGACTCGGGTCAAGTTTCGCAGGTTTCAGGAGACAGGCCGCGGAACGAAAATGGGCACGTTCGTGCAAACAATGGCTCAGAGAGGATATTTGAGCATGACGCTTCTTGATCGCACCTCGGGCGAGCACTCCATGGCGAGAGAAACGTGGCTGATCAAGCCAATCGAGGTGGAGGGCACTTCGGCTGCAGCACTGCTCCCAGGAATTGAGAAAGCAATCCCATATCACTTCTGCTTGAGGGACTTCGCCGCGCTGGCGCGAGCACTTAGAAGCATCAGCCACGTTTCTATCATGCCCATGTGCGACAAGGCATCGGGCAACATATCATTGATGAAGTTCTGGGGGCACTCCTTGTCTATCATGATGGAGCAGATGCCAACCATTGCGAAGCGAGTTCTATATTGGCCAGATTGCTGTGGCGTTCACCTTCATCACAGAGGGAAAGTATCACTGACAGCACTTCGGGAGCACACGATGCGGTCCTACAGCATCGCCAATCTGTATCGGTTGCAAGACGTTCGTGCCAAGATGGTTTCAGGCTTAGAGTTCCATGTGCGGCGCAAGCTCAAGAGGAAGGTCGAGCCTCCTCCTCGCGAGGACACTGCCCTGGACAGGTTCTGCCACATCATCTTCGACCTGGATGCGGAATACCATCGGCGAGGGCACAACTACGCTCGGCGAAGTCAGTTCCACACGGACTTGCAGTTCTTATGTCAGATGGTGAACTGTGACATCGGCGACGATCAACCTTGGGTTCACTATTGTTGGGATGCTGATTCTTCTGGGCCTTGCTGCGCGAACGATGAGGTGTGCAAACAGAACAGCGTGGTAGCATGTCTCAACGCAATGCTTGGCAAGACGGATCCCATTCCAGGTGAGAGCAGGTGGACACATGTCTTACCGAATTTTCGAATGCTGTGCCTGCGCCGAGTTGTTTTCAACGTGGGGCTGGAGTGCTTCGACTTGTCTGTTGGAGCCCAGGAGGCCGACCTGGCCTACTCGGTCGACGCCGAGGCCACCGATGACTTCCACAAGAAGCTCATGCAGACGCGAGTTCGGAAGACAACCGAATACTACAACAACGATGCCATGATGATGGAGCTGCCTATCTTGACCGTGCTTGTCGGCATCTACGACTACCACTTGCTGTACCCGATGTTGGGCGACCCCGCCAAAGGTGCGAACCTGGATGGCGATGGGAACAACACGAGCAAGCTCGACAAGCTCCTGTCGAAGGAGACCAGCCTCATCGGCGTCTGCGCTGAGAAGCTGCTAGAGTGCATGAAGACGTGGAGGGCTGGCGGAGACCGACGGTGGCCGTGGTGCGTGCTCGACATGCTCGGCATCAGCGTTGGCGACCTTGGAGTGATGCGTTTTGCTCGTAACCAAGCGTTGAAGTTAGCTGGAGTTGTGTTCAGGCGGTACGAA